TTCCAATTTTCCAAGAATGAACTGAAAAAATACGAATGTAAATATTTAGCACACCACTTACTTTCTGCTCACCATTATTCCAAAAATATTTTCAGCTATGGATGTCCCTGACTATGTTGCTGTTGTTGTTATTCCTCTTTTTTGAATGTTAATATTTATGCTGTTTAATTAGTTCAATTGTATGTATGTGTGTAAACAATTATTTGCCACATTCTGTATATGTAATTAAAATTTTGAATTTGAATTTGAATTATTTCATTTTTCTTTCTGCACCAGACATTGGCCTGTATAGAAGAAATTAAAGTGCGTATATGCAAATGTGTATGAGAGAGTGTGTGTGTGTGTGCGTATGTGAATTTTGTTCCAATTTTCCAAGAATGAACTGAAAAAATACGAATGTAAATATTTAGCACACCACTTACTTTCTGCTCACCATTATTCCAAAAATATTTTCAGCTATGGATGTCCCTGACTATGTTGCTGTTGTTGTTATTCCTCTTTTTTGAATGTTAATATTTATGCTGTTTAATTAGTTCAATTGTATGTATGTGTGTAAACAATTATTTGCCACATTCTGTATATGTAATTAAAATTTTGAATTTGAAAAAAAAAAACAACAAAATAAAATTATTCTCAAAAAATGCCAACCTACAAATGTTGGCATTGAAAGGCTAATTGCGGTACTGCTGCACAAAGCCTCGTCTCCCACCATTCGAGTAAAGAGTTAAATGTGTTTATTATACAAAAAATGTATTCTACAACAGACGTTTATTTTACTTCTGCTATTGTTTTAGAATTTGGTGGATGTTTTCTTCTTTTGCGGCATATGTTGGCGGAAATAATTGAATAAACAGTTTTCATATTTGTACAGAATCCAATGGCGTAATGTTTGTGTGGATTAATTTTACTCTTTATTTCCAGAAAGAATATGTATGAGTTATTTAGATTGCTTTAAAGAAAAAAAAATTCCGCAATTTATCGTTTTTATAAAAAGTTATTTTTAAAGTTTTCTATAAGTCGACTAAACTTTATCGGTCATCTTTTCATTTTCACCGAAGAAATATTTTAAATATGAATTTTTTCATAGGAAGGATTGTTGGTAAATGCCAGAGACATATTATAGAAACTGCAAACGATAAATCGGTCGTGTTACAGAACATACATGCAAATCCTGATTTGATTATATTGAGGTTGTCGATTAACAGGTTCAAAAAATAAAAATGTTATTAAATACCACTTAGGTATTTTTTTAAATTCTTTTTTATTTGATAATGGAAAATACAGAGTAAGATAAAAAAAAACTGCAAAAAAGTCAAATGCCACAATTTTTACATTTTTTTTTAAATTTTATTAAATGAAAGAAAAAAATGTTGGATATACCAAAATTTTTGATTGATTTTTGGCCGAAAGTGATGAACTGCCGAATTGGGTTTTCTCCGATAAGAAAACATTCGTTATCCAGCAATTTGTAAACAAACAAAATTATCGTGTTTTTCCTTGTCAAAGAGGTCAGCTGAAAATGTGCTGCTTCGGTTGGCCACCAGAACTCAAGCGCCGTGTGTGAACCGCCACAACAGCCGATGGTCGCTCTCCGCTCGTATTAATCTCCCTGGCATAAGAATAAATGCCGAATATTATCGCGAAAATATTCAAATATTCAGGAGGGTTTATTAAAGCCTTGGGCATGCAAACATTTTAGCCGCAGACCTTGGACATTCCAACAAGACTCAGCACGCGCCACCCAAGAATGGTTTCAAAATGAGGTTCTTCGCTTCATTTCTCCGCATGCCAATCCGTTGGACTCTTGTGTCTGGATTATTTTGGAAAGAAAGGTTGGCACTAAAAAATATCAAAGTGTCGATCACCTCAAGCAAGCGCTTCGCCGGGAATGGGTCAAAATACCGCAGAGCAACATTCGAGCAGCGTGTGACGGTTTCATTGGCCGTTTGAAGGCCATAATTAGTGCCAAAGGTGACAAATTCGAACAAATCTAAACTTTTTCTAAAATTTGATGTTATTTCCGACATTTTTTGCCTTCATTCAATAAAATTAAAAAAAATGTAAAAATTATGGCTCTTGACTTTGTTGCAGTTTTTTTATCTCACCCTGCATTCCGAGTATTCGTAACTATAGTTATATGGGAGTTATACGAAGACCTACACTAATTTTCTGTCATAGGAAGTGGTAGCTACTACGAAGTCCTAAGAGCGTATTTGAAAAACAAGTAAAAAATATTAAGTTCGACCGGACCGAAATTTTAATACACTCCGCCTTTGGGTAAAGGAAACATTAGAATCCATTATACCCACAAATATTAATTTTTAGACATAATCGTAAGAAAAAAAAAAAAAATCATCAAAATATCGAATATAGGGAGGTAGCGTTATATTGGACCTATAGCAAAACGTGGACCTATACATACAATGTTTCGCCACAGCAGCCAAAACCATTATTACCAACAAATACCAATTTTTAGACAAATTCGTCATAAAATTGTGACGAAAATCATCAAACTACCGAATATCGGTAGGTACCATTATATGGGGCCTATACCAAATCGTGGACCTATACATGCACTGTTTCGCCACCGGAGCTAGAACCCATTATGACCTACAAATAATTCGGTAAAAAAATGTGGCAAAAATCATCAAAATACCGAATATCGGGAGGTACCGTTTAGCAGAACAATTTGTATTGTGCCTAGGATGGTTGGTATTGAAAGTGAGGTATATTGGTCTAATATATCTCATTTTCAATACCAACCATTCTAGACACAATACAAATTGTTCTGCTAAATTTTGACGCTCTACGTCAAATAATGTGGGCTGTATCGCGATTTCAACAGACAGACGGACAGGCAAACAGACGGACTTCGTTTAATCGACTTAGACTTAGAATGCGATCTACGACGAATATTTAGGGATGTTACAAAGGGAATGACAAAGTTAATATACCCTCCTTTCCAAGGTGGAGGGTGTAAAATTTGGTGAACATTTTACAGAAATCATTAAGTACTAAAAATCGGGTGGTATCGTTATATAGGGTCTGTTTAACTCAGGGGAGTGGGGAGAATGGCTTCGACAGCGGTAGCAACAACGATAACTCCCCAGAGTTATTATGATGTGAGATGTGTGGGTGAGATATGTGGTGCGGGTGATTCGCGCGTGTGTAAAAAGAAAGAAAATATACAAGAAATAAAACACAGAAATAATTAGTATAATTCTAAATACGATTCCATGCTTTATTGTATCTTTCTTTTCAACGACAAATTACCTTCAGTAATTGGGGGGAGGTCGTGTGCTTTCGCATTCGTTTTTAAGAGACAAGTGAACGCAATGGTTTTGAGTGACCGCTGAGGGTTCCATGTCTGTCTACAATTATAACTACTTCCAATGAGAGCAAGGTGAGCCTACCGACAACAACCAATGCCCAGCGACGATCCGCTCACTACGGTCTCCGCCAGGGGAGTTGTAGAGGAGATGCCTATGCGCCAATCAGCATCCGTGATTGATCGAGCATTGGAAAGTTGTGGTGGAACGTATCGAACTTATACAGGGTCTTTGTCAATTTTCCGTACCAACTAATGAAAATGAACATTTTACAGAAATCATTAAGTACCAAAAATAGGGTGGTATCGTTATATAGGGGCTTTGTCAATTTTCCGTACCAACTAATTTACATCTGACTAAAATTTTATCAACCTTCTTCATTTCGTTCGAAAGCTAGAGTGATTTCCACAGACATGGCTAAATCGACGTAAAATTGTAAACTGATCAAGGCTATACATATAAATTATGGGGTCTATTCCGTGGAGTTATCTCCATGGTGGAGGATATAAAAAGCATCTGTTTTGGATTGGAAGTGAAAAATCTGCAGTTTTTTGATAAAATGTATATATAAAGACATTTGGCAGTTTCCTCTCATGTGTTCAAAAATTTTACCGTGTTGTACCCCGTTCTGCTATAGTATCGGGTCGTAAACTTTTTCAGCGTGTTTGGAGTGGTGCTTACACACGAAGTTTTTATACCCTACACCACAAGGTGGTCAGGGTATTATGTCTTTGTGCATTTGTTTGTAACATTGAGAAGGTAGCGAGATAGATCCATAGTTACTTTTAAGGATCTCCATAGAATTACTTTCTGAGTTGATTTATGCATGTCAGTCCGTCTGTCCATGTATTCTTGTGAACAAAATGCAGGTCGCATTTATTATCCGATTGAGATGAAATTTTCCAAACAACATTTGTTTGGCCCAAGGACGAACCCTATTGAAATTGAAGATAATCGGTCAAAATTTACATATATCTTCCATATATATATATTCGTCCGATTTGCCTTTTATTGTGCACCAAACGTGTAATATCAGCCCGAAAAGTATGGAATTTAGCAAATACAACCAAATTAGACCTGAAAATAAGTATGCCAAATTTGATCGAAATCGGTTCAGATATAGCTCAGAAATACATTTTCTCTAACTTCGTCCGATTTACCTTTTATTGTGCACCAAACGTCTAATATTTGCCCAATTGAATTTGGCACTTACGACCGAATTGAGTCTAGAAGCTAGTATGTCAAATTTCGTGAAGACCGGTTCAGATATAGCTATAGCTCCCATATATACTGTTAATCGGATTTGTTACCCACAGCCGTAATACGCACTGCGTAACAACGATATTCAGGGAAATATATCAAATACAGCTCAGAAATATCTTTGCCAAATTTTATGGAGATCGGTTCCGATTTGGATATAGTTCCCATATGTGTATTTATCCGATTTCAAATTAATTGTGCACCAAATGGGCAATACAATTCGGAAGTTAAAAGACAAAAATGCTTCGGCATATTTAGTACTTTGAACTTTAAATTATAGTTGTTATCATAGCTTGTATGATTGAATTCTCCCATAAAATCTTTTAATTGTTATGCGGATCTCTACTAAATTAGCAAAATGGTGTAGGGTATCATAAAATCGGCCCCGCCCGACTTTAAGACTTTCTTTCATGTTTTTTTGGCAATCTGGTACGAATTTTATTCTTGGTTAAATTAATTTTCTCATTGACATTACACTTAAGGACAAATAACCTTTCGTTTGCAACAATCTGGATAGGGTGCATTCGCATTGACATGATCTCCCAGTGTACAGGGTGCCTTTACACCCTGGGTTCCACAACTACAACGAAACAGAAAAATTTTATACAAACAATACCATACCATTTATATGCACTTTGTACATACCCCTGTACGACTCCAAGACCATCGGCACGGTTACATAAGAAACGTTTGCATTTACCGGGAATCTGACCCTCCTTGCCCGGCTCAAGAACTAGACCACCAAAGAAGCACTTTCCCGGATGATCTGAAATAATTTCAATTTTGGCTAGTACCCATCGGCATATGCAACATTGTAACCCAATCATACCTGGATCTTTAAAATAACCTGTAAATTCGCCAGCCATACAAACGTAGGCAATGCTGGTCAATATTAAAAATATTGTGGCAAATAGACAGCAGTTCATTTTCACTCAATTCGTTTTCAGTTCTAATCACATTCAAATTAAATATTTAACTAATTCCTCTAACGGAGACAAACTAAAGTCACTGCATGGTTTGGAAATGTTATCAGTGAAATAAAAATAACTCGGTCGAGTCATGTGAATTGTTTTATATAATAAATCAAAGTCGTCAAATCAGCGTCTAGTCACTCGTCCTAAGGAACAATGAATGAATAATTGCGGCTCTCTTTTTAATGATTTGTAACAATTGCTAAGCCAAACAAAAGAGATGACGTAAATAATTAATAATTTTATTGAAAAAATGCAAGTTGTCGTTCGAAAATTGCATCATGATGTCTGCGCTAATAAAATAGAAATGAAAAGGCTTGCGAAAGTTCTTTGAATTCTTTGTCTCAGACATTTGAATAGATTTTTTTTATTAAAAATTTCCCTAGGCTTTCTGTTTGTACTTTTGATTCTCAGAAGCAAGTAATTCCCATGGATTGATTTAAATTCTAAGATTTTGATACAAGTTTTGCCCCAGACGAGGAAAAAAATCCATAGTCCAATTTCACGTGCTTTGACTGGCCATATTTTCTTTAAAAATTTTTGGAAAATTACATCAGCTGAGCGACAATTCAAAATATGGATAATAGTGATTTTCTCCAAGGTACTGGAATATATTTGTTAGACCGGCTTCTAATTATATTTATCTTAAAAACAAGTAAGCAAAGGCTACAGTCGAGCGGGGCCGACCGTTGAATACCCTACAACACTATAATAAACGATACAGTTTATATAGGCGAGATATTCGAAAGAATTCCACAAGATATTGTGACAAATAATAAAGGAAACCATCAGGTTTCGTTCTCTAATTTTCGAATAATAGCAACTTAAACTAATTTAAATGGTCTTCCTAGATCTGGAACTAATATTTCCCAAAGACCTATAATCTCTCAGAAGTGGCAAAAGATAAACATTTATTATTGGTTTTTGACTGAAACGCATCTATATGAGATACAGACATTTGACTATATTCTTCAACGAAATCAGCGTTAACGAAATAGTCAGAAGTGCGTCTTTCCTGTATTTGTGAATTCTCCAAAAAGTCAATGGAATGGACATTTTCGTATTTTGTCTACAAAAGTTGGCAAACTATTTCACACATTGAATATTTTTGGATGGCCATCCAAAACTGCTTGGCTTTTGAAATGTCCGGTAACCCCCATTCAAATGTGCGTGAGGATCGGTTGATAATTACGATCTGCTGACAATTTTGCAGTTTTTTGGTCCATTTCAACCCCTAAATATACGGCGATCATCTCCAAAAAGAGTAGGCTTCTATTCTGACCCTCATCTTATCACCATGCAAAATTTCGTAAGGATCGGACCATAAATGCGATCTGTATATGATTCCTGGTATTCTAACTACTTAGTTTTGTTAGCTGTAGAAATATTACCAAATGTTTAATTCAAAATGAAAATATGCCAAAAATGTGACAAAATTGAAAAAAATATGAGAAAATTTTACAAAATCAATATTTTCATCTTCATAGAGATATTTTTATGCGATTTTTTTAGACGTTTTTTCTTTCCTGCCAAGAGGCCATTCTGAATTAATGAGAACTGTCGAAATCAGTTCAGCCATTCTCGACATATAAGAGATCTTTCAAGCATATCTTCTTTGATAGACATATATATCGCACATATTTCGCTATATATCCGATTTGTTGGATGTTAACATCAATGTAAAGGTCAGAAGTAACCTCGTCATGGCTTTGTGATTTCGCCGGTATTTAAAATATTCGCGGTTTAATGAAAAATTTTGAATTTTTTCAACACAAAAGATATGGCCTATTTTACCGGCTAAATATTATCCGATGACCACCCAAATTGGTAGGCTTCTTCCCCGCCCTAAACTCTAGCTACATGCGAAATTCCGCGTCGATTGGTCTATAATTGCGACCTGTATAGCTACTGCAAAATCCGACATTTTTTCAGTATTTGGTCCATTTCGACCCCTAAATATTATGCGATCATCTCCAAAAGAAATAGGGTTCTATTCTGACCTAAGCCCCACCTCCATTCGAAATTTCGTGAAGATCGGGCCATAATTGCGACCTGTAGAGTGATTACAAATTAACATGGACAGACGGACGGACGGACATACATAGCTAGATCGACTCAGCTCGGCGAGCTAGGAAGATCCATATATACTTTCCTATGTGGGAAACCAATATTTCGAGGTGTTACATAAATTCTGGCCCAATCAAACTTATAATACCCCCAACACATAGTGTTGTAGGGTATAAACATGGGCCAAAATTTTTTTCTATTATATCACCAGAACTGGTAAATTTGTAATTACGAAATTTTTTAGACGGTATTATTAAAATTAATTTATTTTAAACTTGGAAATAAGATGTTTTTTTTATCAGAGCTTGAGATATTTAAGCTACATTGGTAAAGGGTTTTTAAATATTTGGAATATCAGAAGATAATTAAAAGTTCTAAATAGAAGGAAATTTAGAAAAAGAAATTTTCTGGAAAAGCATTTGTGAATTTTTGGTTATTGGTGCCCTAGAGAGCATGGACTTGGTAAAAATGGTCCCACTGTGTCTTTTAATGGAAAATATTTTTGAGACTTTAAGAATTCCAATATGAAAAATAAAATTATATGTTTATATATTGGGGGTATTATAAGTTTGATTCGGCCAAAAATTATGTAACACCTCGAAATATTGGTTTCCCATATAGGAAAGTATATGGATCTTCCTATCTCACCGAGCTGAGTCGATCTAGCAATGTATGTCCATCCGTCCGTCTGTCCATGTTAATTTGTAATCACTCTACAGGTCGCAATTATGGCCCGATCTTCACGAAATTTAGGATGGAGGTGGGGTTAAGGCCAGAATAGAAGCCTATTTCTTTTTTGGAGATGATCGCATAATATTTAGGGATTGAAATGGAACTAGAGCATAGGGCTGGGCAGAAGCCTTTCAATTTTGATGGTCATCGGGTAATATTTAGTAGGTGAAATAGACCATAACATTTGTGATAAATAAAAGCAATTTTTCCATTAAACCGCGAATATTTTTAATGCCGGCGAAAATAGACAAACAGGTCAATTCTGGCCTTTACACTGATGCCGATAGTAAATATATCGGATATATATAGCGAAATATATTCAATATGTATATACAAAGGAAGGGGATGTTAGCTAGAATGTTTATATCTCAAGAATGGCTGGACCGATTTTGACAAATTTTGTCAATTCGGAATGGCCTCTTGGCACAAAATAATAAAATATAAAAAATCGCGTAAGAAGATGCCAATAATTATGTTAATATAGATTTTGTAGTATTTTCTGTTTTTTTTTTTATTTTTTCATATTTTTTATCGCATGCGATTTTTTCAATTTGTCCTGTAATATTGAAGTGAATTGTCGCCTTACAACACAGGTTGTGGTTATTATATACAGATTGCAATTATCAGAGGAAAGGCTAGGATTAGAAGGGCTAGGCCTATAGTTTTTAACGATACCCGCAATATATTTAAGGGATAAAAATGGACCAACAACTAAATATGTTCCTGATTTTGCAGCTAAGGGTAATATCTTGGCAGTTCTCTCGTTAGAGCACTCCATCATTTAAATGTGAATAAATCTTTTGTGTCTCGTACCATCGCTCGTAATTGTGATACTGATAGCGTAACCCGACGTCAAGGAACATCAGCAGAAATGGTCCAAAAAGTAAAGAAGCGACTTGATCGAAACCCTTGTCGCAGTGGCCGAAAAATGGCGCAATATTCTATTCGGTTAATATAAAAAATGAGCTCGGGGTAAAGCCGTTGAAATTCCAAAAAGTGCAAGAACTTACACCGCAACAGAAAGGGACTGGACTCAAAAGAGCTAAGAAGAGCTTGGCCGAAATTGGTGAACTGCCGAATTTGGTTTTCTTCGATGAGAAAACATTCGTTGTGCAACGAAATGATCGTGTTTACTTGCCAGAGAGGTCAGCTGAAAATGTGCACCTTCGGTAAGCCACAAGAACTCAAGCGCCGGCCATGGTGATGGTGTGGGCCGCCATAGCAGCCGATGGTAGCTCTCCGCTCGTTTTAATCGACCGTGGCAGAATAAATGCCGAATAATATCCTGGAGGGTGTATTAAAGCCTTGGGCACGCAAACAATTTGGCCGCAGACCTTAGACATTCCAACAGGACTCAACACCATCGCACTCAGCACGCGAGTTAACTTCCGTACCGCCGAGAAATCAGAAAACAAGAATTATTCTGTTTTAGATGCCAAATACAACTGATGCTTTATTCAAAAAATTCTTATATTTAAGCGATTTTACAATTATTGATTTTTCTTAGAGTTAACAAAGAACAAAGGAACATAAAATCTAGAGCTATCAAGAAAAATACTTAAGCTAAAAATTTGTATTGGGTACAGTAAAAGTAAACATTTCTTTTTGGGTTATTTCCGTCATAGTTTTATTACTAGTGTTGTTATTGTGATGTTGAAGTGGAGAATTATTGCTGACGAAATAATGTCAACAATATTGGTGTTAGCTCTTTGGTGCTTATGACAATGTTGTAACTAATAATGATGTTAATAATAATGATATTAATAATAATGATGTTAATAATAATGATGTTAATAATAATGGTGTTAACAATAATGATGTTTTTAATAAATGAGGTTGTGGTTGAAAATAATGAACTTAATAATAATGTTGTTTATTGGTGGCTGTAGGTAACTCCTCCCTCTCCAGAATGAAGTGAGGGCCAAAGGGGCTTCGGATCATTTGTGGCCAGAACTTCATTATTGTTGTGGGTTATGGAGTAGATTAATTTTATAGGCTTTCTTATTACTAATATTATTGATAATATTATGATTATAGAACTAATTATACCAAATGCGGAATAAGAAATTGTTTTGTAATTGTCAGAGTCTGTTTGAAGAAATTCGATATTTGCTTTATTTTGGAATCTGTATTGATCTAGTTTGGGTAATGTTAGTTCGTCTCTTATGGAGAGTGTTGTAATATTGTTTGAGAAGCTAGTTTGGAAGGTTATTGTGCTAATGTTTTCTTGGTGAATATTCGGTTTATCTGTATACCAGAC